TCAATGCAATAATCGATGCAATAATCAATAATAAAGAAATTTAAAACGATCATATCAATAGTTATACGCATATCAATTCAATCAATCAATTTCAACCAAATCAGAAATCATACGAAAATCGGGCAGAGTAACGGCAGTCTATCAAATTTACACAAAAATCCTGCAAAAAGCACAAATTTCAAATTTCTCCAAATTACAATAGAATATCCACGACATCAATACAAGACTATTATTCTATAGAATCCAAATCAAATCAAGTCCTGATATTTTTCTATTCGATTAAAATCGTGTAGAATCAATTCCGACCGGTAAAATCTTCGTAGAAAATAGTCAAATCGTGTACAATAGTCATATCTATAACATACCAAAAGTTGTGCGGTGAAAGTTGTGTCAATACAAAACCGGGTCAAAAGTTCGACTACGAAAACACAAAACAGTGCACAACTCGGTCAAAACTCAATATCTTTGAAAACAGAAATAGGATTCGGAGTCCTTACCACGAGATCTACACTTTCTCCAACAGCAGCGTCGGACGAAAAGCGCTCCGCGGCCTCCAAAATCCAGCTTTTCCTCTTTTCCCTTTCTCTTTCTCTCTCCTCAAAACAGATATTTTATTTTAAAATGATTTTCTCTCTCTTCAAAACGAGCTGATTTTCTTATGTCATTAGGCTGATCGGCCCGGCCGATCGCAAAATCGTCCCGGGACGATCAGACCAAAATCGATCGTCCTGGACGGTTCCCAGAACTATTTTCAGGACGGTATTTTGAACAGTACAGATCGTCCTGGACGATATCAATATCGTCCCAGACGATCCTGGGAGAAAAATCCAAGTCAGAGAGGAACAGTAAGGGAACGATGTCTCACAGGAAGTCTGGCAACAATCGGTGGTTGATGGGCGGAAGTCTGGCGATAAGAGAACTCTAGTTTCTCTCTTCCTTCTCTTCTTTGTTTGAGTCACCCTTCCATGAGAAATGAGGAGTCTATTTATAGTTTTCTGAGAGTGACATGACTAGTAAATATGAGGGAGATCAAGGGTAAGTTGGGAGTGGTTTGAATGGACAGCCGAATCGATGTTAAATCCCTTGATCGTGTACATTTTACTCAGCATTGGAATGTCTTAATGATATCAGAATTTGGCATTGGACACATGATTTAGGGAGATTGGATAGTAGCGAGCAAAGTAGCAATCACGAGCTTAAGGTAAAAATTGGCACGACTGAGGCACATCTTGGTGAAGAAATAATGTTAATTAATTTAATGAAGTGGTTACATTGCTACTTTTTGCAACGGTTTTAATCGCTACTAAAAGCAATGGTTAAAACCACTACTATAGGTGATATATAGCAGCGGTTTGAAAACTGTTAGTAGCTAATGTTGTCTTTGCCCTCTCTTTTTAGTATTGAATTCCCTACTCCGTGATATATTAAATGAAGCTTGTAATCCTACAATAACCGGTGATTCCCTCTCTTTATATACCAACCCATGAAGTCTTGTTTTAGGGTGAAAACTCTCTAGATGCACTAAAAGATGTTTGTCTTTAGGTTTAGGCTCAATATAATCTAGAAATCTACTAAGCAAAAATGGCTACAATACATATATAACAGTATGGTCATTCAAAGAAATTTTTGAATGGGTAAATTTAACTTCATTAATTTTTCAGAGGGTGGAGTGATAAAAAGTTCTAGTTAAACTAGGAGGCCATTTAAATTATTTAGAGAGTTTATGAGGAATGACATATAGTTTATCAATCAATATATTTCCATTCATAAATAATATTATTTAATAGTCTCTTCATATATTAAAGCAACGATTCTATCATCATAAAATAGGAGTCAATCATTGTGAAAAATTGGATTCATAGGATTGATGGTAAGAAAATGCTAAAAAAAAATTGAAAATTTCTATGTAATGACTATAAAACAACCGTAAATAAATTCATTATCTTTAAATTTTATCAATTATGATAGAATTCTCATAATTTTTTTTTCCAAGAAAAAAATCTAAAAAAAAAAATCATTTTAAAAATCTAACAAAGATATTTCTTAGCGAAAATCACGGAACACAGACCTATAAAGAGCTGCTTTGTCTCTGGTCTTGTTGAACTAATCGCATTCTTCAAGCAAGTTGGTGATGGATTTTAAAAAAATAATAATAAGGAAATTTCTTCACTATACACAAGGATAATTTAAGCAAAGAAAATTAAGGGTCTTCTCATTAAATTTTAATCTTAAAAAATTAAAAAAAAAAAATCGGTTAATTTTATATAAGAAACTAATTATGTATTATATTCATTAAAAAAACAAATTTACGAATTTTAATATTAATTCTACTTTTTTTTCAAAATATTCTGATTTTATTTTCTTTCATAAATTTCAAATTCTCCGTCAATTAACCATATTTTATAAATTAAATTAGTATACAGTTATAAAAATATAAGATGCTCTATAGTTCAATTAATAAGCTCAAGATGTTTGAAAATAAATGTAAAAAAAAAAAATTATATTTTTATCCATAGGTTGCATAAAATTTAAAAAATATTTTAAGAAATTAATCAAATAGAGTCGAAGATAAAAAGGCTAATTTTGATCAACTTATTTTTATCGCAATTTGATTATAATGTACCTTAACATTTTTAAATTTATTTTGATAATATAAATTTTAATTATTTATTTATGTGCACTAATCTCAAAGCAAAATTAACACCTTTAAATTTAATTTTGATGAAAATGTTTATGATATAATTATTAAATTATTGACATAAGCAAATAATATACACAACATGACAGTAAGAAAACGTGCTTTTTCTTCCCTTACCATTGCTTTGTAGTTTACGATTCTTCCAATGGAACTGTCCTTCTATTTTAGTCTTTGTCTTTCTCTTCAATTTTCTAAGTACTCTGAACTCCAAGTGCCCCATTTTTCGTCCTCTTTATCTTCTTCTTATTCTTCTTCTTCCACCATTCCTCTTCATCGCCTTCTTGTTAGATTATTCTTATACTTTTATTCTTCATAGTGGTGCAACTATGGATGAATCTCTCTTTTTGCCTCCTGGCTTCAGATTCCACCCAACAGATGAAGAGATCATAACCCATTATCTGTTTCAGAAGATTGCCGATCGAAACTTCAAATCCATAGCCATTGGAGAAGCAAGCTTCAACGAGAGCGAGCCATGGGATCTTCCAGGTAATTTAAGCTCCTTAACTACCCGTATATTTTTATTAAAAAGTTCAGTAATCTATGTAGTACATATATTGCATCTAAAAATAAAATCTTTGAAAGTTTACAAAGTACCATTTGTTTAAAGTTTGATTTTTTTAATAGATTTTTGAACTAAAATGAAGATTTGCTTCCACTTTCATGATATAATAATATTTGAAGAAGTTTGGAAGATGTATTTATATGGTTGTTGCATGGAAATTTTATATAGGTAAGGCTAAGATGGGAGAGAAGGAATGGTACTTCTTTTGTCAAAAGGATAGGAAATATCCAACAGGGATGAGAACAAATAGGGCTACAGCAACAGGATACTGGAAAGCTACAGGGAAGGACAAGAAGATCTTTAAGGGGAAGGGAGTGCATGTTGGGATGAAGAAGACTTTAGTTTTCTATAGAGGAAGAGCTCTAAGAGGGCAGAAGACTAATTGGGTCATGCACGAGTATAGACTTGAAGGAACACAGCACCAATACTGTAATCTCTCTTATTACACCGTAAGATTATTATCCACTTATTATATATTTTTGTATTTATTAAACTATTTTAGTATTATTAAGTGATTATTTTGTATTATTATCATTGCCCCCTATTTGTTGTGACTTTGTGAATTTTTTTTCTATTTTCATGTTTGTTGAGTGCTATATTGAGAACTAATTAAATTTTTATTGCGACATCTTTTTCTAAATTATCTTTGGCTTATTATTTCTCTTTCTAATTCTTCAATAGTAATATTAGTGCATTTTTTTTATTTTGTGTATTTTTTACAATTTTTAATGTTCTTAATTTTTATCATTTTGAGTTAATTTTTATAATTTTTTGTGCATTCTCATGAGTTCTAATTCAAATTTTAAAATAATTATTAAATTATTTTCGGTAGATGCTATTTCTATTGTCTCTCTAATATAACTATTTCAATCATCTATCATAAACTCTTAAAATAATATCTTGTATATATTAACATTCTTCTCAGCAACAGATCCAAAATTCATATTATGATATCATTAATTAATGCTATAAAATCTTTGTAGGATGAATGGGTTGTTTGCAAGGTGTACCATAAAAAGAATTCAGAGATAAGCACAACAGTAGAATCAGAAGAAAGAATGAACCCTTCTTCTTCCGTGGATGATGATCTTTCTGTTGAGACAAATTATTTTCCTCCTCTAACCAACTCTCTTTACCTCAAAAACTCAAGTAGTAAATTCATGGAGGACACAAATGAACCAGGAAATGAAATGATCCCTTCCATGCTCTTCGAGTTGATGCGGCCAGAGTCGATGGTGATGAGCTATAATCTTCCAGATACAGGAATATGCTCAGAGAGGAACATAGAGAAGAATATTGACAGCTTTCAATCACATGATCATGATCCTTGTGCAGCTGTGCAAGCTGTTGACTTTGATGGTTTATGGGATTATGGTTTGTTTTGAGGATATGATTCTTTTTTTTTTTGTATTTTTATGTGGTTTCATGTCTGTATATATATGTTATTATGCCAAAAGGGAAGGCTTATTCCAAATTATGATTGTTTAAATTATACTTTATTAGTGAAAAAGAAAGAAATATATATGAAATGTTGTGTTCACATAAAATTTGTTTGGTTAGTGCTATTCTTATGTTGTTCTGAAGAAATATTTGATGCTTTCTTACATCAAAATTTGTTTTTAATAACAGCACATTTGACAATGCAGCAACATCACTCCATCTGGACCGTCAGCTCATAACAAACCAACTTATTATAGACATACACATGTAAAGGGTAAAACCCACACTGCACACACCGTACAAGCTACAACCATATATACCTTTTGTGTAAAGAATGGATCATCTTTATATACAATGCGTATTTCAATGCTTCTTTACTTTTATCTTCTATTGTATTAGATAAAGCTGATCTACAGCCTTTACATGGTATCGAAGATTTGATACCTAATGGTATATTGACATGAAGTAGTATGAAACCTCCCAGGTAGAATCCTTCACCAACCCTCAAATCCCTTCTCTCAAATTGCTGATATCTAATATTGAGGTCATAGTTCCAATGCTCCTCTCCAACGAAACATATTCCACCTGGAGATCACAAATCTTAAAGCTATTTTTTGCTAATGGATTCTTCGGCTTTCTCTTTGGTACCAATCTCATTCCACCACTGAATCTTACTGATCCAAATTCTACATGAGAATCCAGCCTAAAAACAATGGCTTCTCATAGATCAAAACTTGGTGGATGCATGCTATGCTCCACTCTTACAGCTTCGGTTCTACCATACGTCCACAACCTCCACACTTGTAGCGAGATTTGGACTACCCTAGAGCGTCGACCTCTAGCTTCCAATAGATCCCGAGTAATTCAACTCAAGAACGAGTTGCACAATGTGTCCATGAAGAACTCATCCATGAGCCAGTACCATACTGAAATCAAGACCTTAGCGGATAATATTTCCTTTGTGGGATCAGCTGTTGATCAAGAGGACATTATTCTTTACACTCTCAATGGGCTACCACTTCAATACCAATCCTTCAATATAGCTATCGGAACTCATCCTCTTCCACTAAGTCTTGATAACTTCTATTCTTTGCTTATGAGCGAACATATCAATCTGCTTGCTAATTCTACCAAACATCAGTTGAATGTAAAGCCCATGTACGCCTTATACAGTAATCGTGGACGTAGCCCAAGAGGACACGGATGTTCTCCATACAATACCTTACCATCAGTCGCCCCGATATCGCTTATTATGTTAACCAACTGTGGCAACACATGCATGATCCCTCTCTGGTTCACTCTCAATGGCTCAAGCATTTGCTTCGCTACCTCAAGGGACATTAATCCACTATGGCCTACCAATCATGAAGTATTCTTTGCTCCTTAACTCCTATGTCAATTTCAACTAGGCCAATGACATTCACACTCAGCGATCTACTACATGTTATTGCTTATTCCTTGTCTCTACTCTTATATCTTGGATCGTAAAGAAGTAGCCTACTGTAGCACGTTCCTCTACAAAAGCAGAGTATCGAGCACTCGCAGCAGTGACAACTGATATCATATGGCTTCAATGTCTTTTCAGGACTTCAACATCCTAATTGACAAACCCACCACTTTACGCTGCGACAATCAGTCGACAATTGCCTTAGCCAATAATCCTATCTTCCACGCACAAATGAAGCATATCGAGATCGACTATCATTTCATTCGGTAACAAGTTCTAGTAAAACACATTAGATTACATATTATTGCCTCCAATGAGCAACCAACGAACATCCTCACCAAGCATATATACAACAATCAATTCCAAATTTTTGAACCAAACTCATGGTTCAACCACCACCATGAGTTAGAGGGGGGATAAAAACCACACATGTGATAGTGCAACAACATCACTACATCTAGATCGTTAGTGATTGGACCTTGATGGATGCATTAGCGGAACTGATTAAGAATTTTGTATCCATATGCATCAAAGTGAATGAAAATATTGTTATCTTGAGTAAGCTTATGAATTGAAAGTAGATTATGAGAAATTTGTGGAGTATAAAGAATTTGAGAGTGGAGAAGTTTACCATTGGGAAGTGGAAGTAGGCCTTGACCAGTATGAGTGATGGGTGTTCTTGTGTTGTTGCCAACTATGACTTATTCTGGATCGAAGTAGTTAGAGGGTTGCTTAATGTTCTCAATGTGAGAAGTTAAGCTAAATGTAGCTTTTGAATTCAATATCCACTCATTGGGAAGTGATGAGGAGGCAACAAAGGCTGTTGATGTTGTAGCGATAGGCAGTGGAGCAACTGATTGAGGAATGTAGTTGGCATTCATGCGATGCCATCATTTGAAGGCTAAGTGTCCTCGTTTGTTACAAATTTGACAGACTATGGGGGAACCATGCCAGCTGATGGATTCGGGAGTTAGGGATGAGGAACAAGAGGTGTTTATGGAGCTTAAGAAGTTGTTAAGAGAGGTATTTGTGGAGTAATGATTGATAGTGTAGGATCTTGTGGGGTTGAGCTAGAAGTGGGAGTGAATAGGAAAGGATTAGATATTGGAGGAGGGGTTTGTGAAGGTGGTGGAGAAGATTGATAGGGAAAAACTGAATCGTCAAAGCGAATATGTCTGGAGATGATTATCTTCCTCGTAGATTGATCAAGACATATATAGCCTTTTTGAGTGTCTGAGTACCCAAGGAATATGCATAACGTGAATTTGGGTTGAAGTTTATTGCGGTAGGATAGGGGAAGTCATGGAAAGAAGGCACATCCGAAGATGTGAAGATGAGTATAGTTAGGTTAAATTGCTGCTTGAATAGTAACTGGTATGGGGAGTGATAATTGGTGACTAGGGAGGGCATGCGATTTATGAGGTAGATGGCAGTGAGAACTGCATGAATGATGGAGATCTTTTGTATCTGACAATAATCCAAATATGGAGTGCATATTTCACCCTAATAGTGTAAACATTTTGATTTTGAAAAGAGTTTCAAGATAACATTTTCTTAGAAATAAAAGATAGAATTTCCCGTATATTATTATTGTCTTGTGATTCTCTATGAAAAACAAAATAGCTCAACCGTTATTTTATGAAATATATTTGAAGAAATAAAATCATACATGGACAGCCAAAGAATATTCAGGCTACATACATAAAATACACTGTTAAATATATTTTTCTTATATTAGCTCATCATAATGCATGCGGACAAGCTTGTCTTCGATCTCTACTTTGCTTTGCTTCCTATGTTCTCCTTAGAATTTACTGATTTACCATTCTACCTTTGTTCAAAGTAATAAAAACTATTCATTAACACAAATATCTAACGCGCTATTAAAATTAATTAATCACAAAAGAATAGCTTAATAAACTTATATAAAAGCAAGAAAAGTTGACATTCTTATCTTTAAGCTTCCAATATCTTTCTTAATTGGTTATTCAATATGCACTCTAAGCATCTCTTTCTTTTGCTTCAAGTTTCTCGATTTCATGATGATTAATTACTTATAATTATTCATTATATTTGTATTGCATATATATGTAGACTATAGTTTCTCATGTGCATTATAATATAATATAGCTAATATATGGCATTCATTGAATTGATTAGAGGTGAAGCAGCTGTTTTGCTTCAAATCATTTGTTTACTTAGCCATGCCAACTTCCTCTAGGATGTGAGGATTTGATACCAAATATCTATCTTCTCCATGCAACATGATTAATTATTATGTGCGGAAGGCGGAGGCCAATTAGAATACACCATGTCACCTTATATATGCTCGGAACCGTGGCTCGGTATTGCTTGTAACCACTCGGTACCGCTGACGTGATGCATTTTGGTTGATTTCCAGATGGTGTTCTGCGTCCGATCTCAGTACAGAATAATTTCTCTTGCAACAGACCATTAGTTCGATTTCTATCAAGGATATGTCCCTTCTACAAGAGAAAATCTTGTCTCTAACAATATAACAATGTATAAACTTCATTGCTCCCCTAATCTCACCTAAATTTATGGCCCTTTGCTATTTATGTCTGCAAATATTGATCCTTAAATAATACTATTTGGTTAAATATGATGTGATGATATATAGATCAAGATGAAACCTTACCTAGGTGCAGAACTAACATCTATTTTGAGGGTGAGCACAATATGATTGTGAAATGCAAAATTTTATGTAAGAAATAGAAAATGAAAAATTTTCATAGAATTTGGCCAATTATATTTATCGAATGTGAGAAAAATAGTTAAAATATTGATTCTTCTAAGAAAAAGAAGATTTCAGAGTGAGCAATTGCTCACTTGTATATGCCTTTAGATATTTATATTATAATATTCTATTTTCTAATATGAAAATTATTTTGTAAGCTTTTTGCCTTAAATAAAAGATTAAGAACATTCATTTACAATCTAGCAATAATTAGGTGATCCAATTTCATTAATTTGTAAGCTCATTTTCTTTTATTTGACCAGACTTAAATCATACAACTGATGACTTATTTATCCCATTATCATTATGTTTAAAAATATGATTACAAAATAATTAATGCAAAATTAAAATGAATAAATATATATTAATTGGAAAAGTCTAAAAGACATTTTATTTTTTAACATAAAATCACATGTTGCTTCTCTTGTTAATCTATGTAAAATTAAACTTTGAAAGAAAGGATAATATAAAATAGAAATTAATTCATATTAGTCCAATCAATTTATTTTTTTATGATTCAAACCTAGAATAAGCTTTATTCATTATAAGCGCCAAGAATAAGATTTGCATATATATACTCGTATTATAATATATATAATAAATATGTTTTTCTTGGATGCAGGAGACCAATTAAATTAAATTGTTGAGTAAAAAAAAAGGTTTAGGGTTTTTTTTAGGTAATTTTTTTTATGAGTGCTTACCTCAGGAGTGATGTCACATTAAATGGTTGTCTTTTAAGAAAAAAATATGTATTAGTTGTTGAATATAAACACACTTTTTTCTTCACAAAATAAGGATCCTATCATAGAGGTGTCAATAAATGACCAATTCAACA